AACTTAGCCCTGTGAGCAAGGAACGGCCGGGGTGACTCTCCGCTGGCGGCGACGACGCTACTACTGAACCACACAACACACACAGACACACACACACACACACACATATGTGTGTGTGTGTGTGTGTGCTTGTGTGTTTATATGTATGTGAATGAATACATATATACAAACACGCGCGAACATATTTATCTATCAATCAATCTACCTATCTTTTTATATCCGTATCCGTATACATGCATGCATGAATATAGAAATGCATGCTTGCATTAAATGCATGCTTGCATGAAATGCATACTTGCATACATGCTTATATGCATGCGTGCATTGCACATAATACATACATCACGATATTGATAAAGTAAATATAATCAATAAGTTGATTAATGACACCAGTACGAATAATGATAATATTAGCAACTTAACATTTGGCAATAACTTACTCGCCAAAAGAGTTCCTTTTCCGAGACAGATCTATCAAATATATTGAACACAGGGACCTCCTCCTATGTCATCGCCTGCCAGGAAGGAGGCTTAATATTCAAGCTCATTGGTATTTTCTCTCGAAGGAGAGAGAGAGAGAGAGAGAGAGAGAGAGAAAGAGAGAGAGAGTTGAGGAAAGAAAGAATAGAGAAGGGAAGAAGGACGGAGAGAGTCAGAAAGAAAGGGAAAGAAGGAGAGAAGTTATTTAAAAAGAGAAGAGGAGGGAATATATGGGGAGGAAAGGATCGGGAGATAGATATTAGATAGATCGATATTTAGATAGATAGACAGGTAGATAGATAGTTTACTATATATATATATAGTATATATATGTACACACGCTTTACATATTATATATATATATATATATATATATATATATATATATATATATATATATATATATATATATATACTCACATGTATATATACATATATATGTATATATATACATACATATATATATATATATATATATATATATATATATATATATATATATATATAAATATATAATATATATATATATATATATATATATATATATATGTATGTATTTATATATACATACATATATATATATATATATATATATATATATATATATATATATATATTTATATATATATATATATATATATATATATATATATATATATATATATATATATATATATATATATATATATATATATATATGTATGTATATATAAATACATACATATATATATATATATATATATATATATATATATATATATATATATATATATATATATGTATATATATATATATATATATATATATATATATATATATATATATATATATATATATATATATGTATGTATATATAAATACACACATATAGCGTCGGGGGAGGGGTGGAGTGAGTGGAAGGCTGACAGAGACGGAGAGAGAATTAGCATATTTGAAAATGTTACAATCAATATGCATGAACCCCTTACACACACACACACATAAACAAACAAACACACACACACACAAACAAACACACACAAACAAACTAACACACACACAAACAGACAAACACACACACAACCAACCAACTAAACACACAAACACACACACTCAAACAAACAAACACAAACAAACTAACACACACACACACAACCAACCAACCAACTAAACAAACACACACACTCAAATAAACAAACACAAACAAACTAACACACAAACAAACAAACAAACACACACAACCAAACAACCAACCAACCCACCAAACACACACACACACACACACACACACACACACACAGGCGTTCGTGATATCGATGTAACGCGTTCGCAGAAGAGCAGTCAATCCAATATCTGGACACGTTGTTCAGCTGAAATGGCCGCAAACATATAAATGAACTCATGCTCTTTTCTGCTTCATAAATGAACACATTCTCTCTTTTGTTTTTGTTCTTTGTTGCTATTGGTATTGTTATTTTTATTTTTTTTATTATTATTATTTTTTTACTTTGTCACTGTTTCTTTTTCCTTTTTTCTGTCTTTCTGTCATTCGTCGCTTGCCTTCTCTGTCTCTTTTTCTGCACTTGACGTGTATTTTTATTTTTTTATGATCTGCTTCTCATTTATAGCTTTTTCCCCTCTCTCCCCTCTCCCTTTCCCCTTGTGTTTTGTTCTCGCTTCCCTCCCTTTCGCTCTTTTCCTCCTCCCTTCCCCCCTACCCCTTTTCTCCGTTCCCCTCCCCCTCCCTTCCCCCTCCCGTACCCCCTATTCCTTCTCGTTATCTCTCCCCCTCCCCCCCCGCACCATTCTCCTGTTCCCCTCCCTCTCCCCTCCCTCATCACCTTCTCCCTCCCCTCCCCCCCACCACCATTCTCCCGTTACCCCCCTCCCCCACTCCCACCACCATTCTCCCGTTACCCCCCCCCTCCCCCCCCACTATTGGCTGCCATGTCAACAGAGGTAAACAAGAACTTTAGTTAATATTCACACCAACAGATGTTTTTTTTTTTTTTTTTTTTTTTTTTTGTAACCTTCAGACACT